GCAGAGCCCTGCCCGGACACAGCGACATTCCCTGAAGTGCCCCGGGAGCCTCCGGCACGGGCCGGACTCACCGTCCGCACCGGGACGCGCCGGGAGGCTCCGGAGCTGGGACCGGGGACACCGGATGGGGGATCTGCAGGGACAAGGACACGTGTCCGGGAACCTCAGCCTGGGCAGGACGAGCTCCATGGGGCTGCTGAGCCCGAGGGGGCTCCATGGCTGCGATCCCGGGGATCTCAGAGATCCCAGGGTTCCATGGTAGGGATCCCGGGGCTCTGTGACTGTGATCCCAGAGGCCCCAGGGCTCCATGGGTAATCCCAGGGTTCCATGGCTGTGACCCCGGGGATTCGAGAGATTCCAGGGTTTCATGGCTGTGTTCCCAGGGCTCCACGGCTGCTCCCCGGGCTCCGTGGCTGTGCTCCCATCGCACCCCAGCCCCGCTATAGGGTCGTTGCACCCCCCAGCACCTCGGAAGAGTGAGGGAAGAGCCTGGGGGGCCCCGGAGCCCCCCAGACCCCAAGGAGGAGCCCAGAGGACGAGACTCGGTGCCGCCGCCCCCGCGGTGCCTGCCCGCAGGGACCCCCGGGACACCCCAAGGTCACCGGGGGTCCCCCAGCCCCGCGATGGTGGGGGCAGCGCCCGGGGGGCCGCGAGAGGCCCTGAGTGCTGGGGTGGGGGGTGGGGGGGCGCAACGGCTCCATGGTCCCCCTTGTAAACTCACGCCGGGGTCCCGCAGCACATCCAGCAGAACCCCCCCGGGCAGGATTCCCCTCCCCAGAACACCCGGGGACGCGCCCCCGAGGCAGGATCCCCCCGCTCCAAGGGGAACCTCCCCCTGGAGGGGAGTGGGACCACCCTCGAGGGGTCCCCCCCGTTCCCCTCATGGCTCACCGGCCCCGGCCGCCCCCGGCCCCGCCGTCGCCTCATCCCCGGCCCGGCCGGAGCCGCGTCCCGGCGCGCGGAGCCGCGTCACGGGGCGGGACCGGGGGAGGGACCGGGGATGGCGCGGGGAACAACGGGGGCGTGATCGGGAGGTACCGGGGGGAGCACCGGGGGGCATTGGGGATGGTACTGGGGGCGGCACCTGGGCTGGGCCCCGTGCGGGGGGGTCGCCTTGGAGGTGCAGTCCCGGCATGGGGGGACGGGGGACCTTGACACCCCCCTAGTCCTGGGGTCGGAGGCAGAGCCCCAGCTCTGGGTTGAACCCAGTGGGGGGGTTGAGCCCCAGTGAAGCCCCAGGAGGGTCCCAGGACCCCAGTGTAGTCCCCAGTATGGGGGTCGGGGCACCCCTGTGGTCCTGGGGTCGGGGGCAGAACCCCAGCTCTGGGTTGAACCCAGTGGGGGAGGGTTGAGCCCCAGTGAGGCCCCAGGAGAGTCCCCGGACCCCGTTGTGGTGATGAGGGGGCACACCAGCTGCAGCATCCCCCTGCTCCCACTCCGAGCTTTTCCCAGCAGCCGCTCATTCCACCCCAAATCGTGGATCCCTTTGGAGCCCAAGAGCCCCCCTGGAACTCCCCTTGCCCCCCCAGCAGTGCTTTTCGTACCAAAATCCCTCTGTTTTTCTCTCCCAGTTCCCAGACTTTTGGCGCCCTCTGGTGCTGGTTCCCCCCCTGACTGTTCCCATCTCTCCCAGATGGGATTACTCCCTTCTCTCCCAGAAAACCCCGTGTTTTGGGGGAGAATGGCCTGACTGGGCTTTTCTTTCATTTGCTGCTTGTTTTTCCAGAGGGAAACTCTGCTCCCTCCAGAGTTCTTCCTCTTCTGTGGATTCTCTTGGAAACTTGGAATAATTTGTTTTCAACTGCTCCCTTCCCAAGGAACAACCCCATGGATTTAACTGGGAATGGGACATGGCTCCTGCTGGCTGGGCATTGCTAAGGGTATTGCTAAGTGACCAAATCCTGGGAAAATGAGAAATCCAGGAGATGGGAAACTCCCTAATTCACCCTCAGCCCTGACCCGACAGTGCAGGCATTAGAGATGGGAATAACCCATCACTGCTCACCCGAACCCAGGTGTGACCGACCCCAAAGGCAGCCTGGGCGTGGGAAACTGTCTGAATCCCCCAAATCCCGGGTGTTTTAGGCTGGGGGTGGTGCCAGCCCCCGGGGGGGGGGGGTGTCAGTACTCACCCAGCTCGCAGCCGGGGGTGGGTTTGGTGGGCATGATGGTGCTCCTGTCGCGCTCTTCGAGGCCCGAGGGTGTCCCACTCTCCCCTGGGGGGTGTCCCCTCCCTATTTAAGGAGTGTCCCCTCCTTCCCTCCCTCGCCTCCACCCGGAGCAGAGTTCCCGAGGGAGCTCGGAGGCGCCTCAAAGGCTCCTCAAAGGCTCCCGAAATCTCTGGCATCTCCTGATCATTAATTGACTCCCCATTAACCCTCTTTGAAGTGGCCCCGTGGCCGGGGCTGAGGAGCCTCCGGCGGCTCCACTGATCCACGAGGGCCGGACTCTGATCGGGCCCGCGCGGGCACCGCGGGTCCCTCCGGTACGTGCAGGGAGGATCGTCCCGCGGGATCGATCCGCCCTTATCGGCCCTCCCGGGGGCAGCGATAACCCCCTCCCCAGATAAACAACAGCTGAGTGAGCAGTGCCTGGGCCCGGGAGGGGAGGGCACAGGGTGGGGACAGCACGGGGGGTGCGTGACGGGAGCCACGCGCCCGGGGGGAGCACAGGGGATCCGGAGTCCGGCTGGAGGGAGGGAAGAGCATCCCAGAAACCTCCAAGGATCCCCGGGACGTGGAGGGGCTGAAAGAGGTCTGAGAAGAGGCAACGCAGAACTTGGATTATGGGAATTCCCGGGGAGCTTTGCTGGGGGTCCCGGTCCCTTTGCTGGGGGATTTGGCCTCCCCCGTGCCCGGAGAGCGGGGGAAAGGGGGGGGGGGGGGGGGGGGGGAGGGGCCCCCCCACGGGCCCCCCAAAGGCCGGGGGGTCCCGCTGGAAGGGGGGGCCGGTCCAGGCCAGGGGTCCCGGGGCCGATACCGGGGGTGAGGGATCGGTCCGGGCTGGGGGTCCCGGGGCCGGTACCGGAAGGGGTGGAGGGTGATTGGTCCAGGCCCCGCCCCCGGAACACCGGCAGCCAATCAGCGGCCGTAGCGCCACGTGACCGCTACCCGTGCCCGCCAAGATGGCGCTGTCCAGGGCCGCCGCCCGCGGGGCGCTCTGGCGCCTCGGCCCCGCCGCCCTCGGTCCCCACCGCGGCCGCATGGAGCTGCTGCCCGCCCTGGGGGCGCTCAGGTGAGCGGGGAGTGCCCTCCGAGGCAGCCACGGCCCGTGGGGCACAACCTCCTCAGGGGCAGCCGCCCGCGCCGCAACCCTGACCCCCCCCAAACACTGACCCCCGCCCCCCCCCAAAAACCCCCCGGGGCCCCCCCCCCCCCCCCCCCAAAAACACCGACCGCGGGCCTCGACCCTTCCCAATACCGACCGCAGCCCTGATCCTCCGCCAAATACAGCCTCCATCCCTTACTCCCCTGGTCCTCCCCCGTTACTCCCCTGGTCCTCCCCCGTTACGCCCCCGGTACTGGCCATGGCCCCTCCCTTCCCCGCCGTTGCTCAGGCCCCAGTGCCCCCTCAGTGCCCCCCGTTACTCCACAACCCCCGTTCCCGCGGTGCTGTTCCCTGCCGCGGTGCCACCTGGTTTCCCCCTCCCCGAGGCCCCCGAGCTCTGGTGGATTCCCAGGCCCTGCTCCCCCCCAGCCCTGGCCCGGGGGGGGCCCAGCTCTTCCTCACCTCTCTGGGGGGCTCCCAGTGCCCCCTCACCTCTCTGGGGACATCCTGAGCCCAAAGTTGACCTAGGGGCGGTGGCGCAGGTGCCAGGTGTGCAGGTCCCAGGAGCATCCCCTCTCCTCCCGGGCCACCTCCCGGGCCTTCGTGGCTGCCGTGGCCGCCGTGGCCCGGAGGGTCAACGCCAGGTACGAGCGTTACCTGGAGAGGAGCTTCCCCAGGTTCTATGTCCTGTACAGCACCTTCACCTCAGGTGAGTCCTGAGGGGGAGCCCAAAAGTGGGTCCCAGGAGGTGGGATGTATCCTGCTGCTCCAGGTGGAACAGCGACAGCAGCTGCACCACCCCGGGATTCAGTGCTCTGTCCAACAGGAATCCAGGCGCTGTTCCTGGAGATGAAGGAGATCGGCAGGATCAGATTCAGGATGTCCCAGCAGCGGCTGAAGGTGCAGCAGCTCCCGTACCGGGACATGGAGCGGCTCCGCCAGGTGAGCCCCCTCCACGTGGAAAAGGGCTGGAATTCCTGGGGGATGCACCTCCTCTGCCTAAACACAGGGACTGGGAGCTGCAGCCACCGCTGGGGCCGTGAACTGCAGGAACTCGCAGGGAGTTTGGGGGGTTTGGTGTCGGATCCTGACTCTCTCCTCCGTCTGGAGGCAGTTCCGCAGGGACGCACTCAAGGCCATTCCCATCGGGATCATCGCCATCCCACCCTTTGCCAACTTCCTGGTCATCGTCCTGATGTGAGTACTGGGGTCCCTGACCCCCAGATTCCAGGGAAATGGGGTTTTCAGAACGAAGAATCCGGCCACGCTCTCCCTGTCAGTTCAAACATCCAGATCCTGAGGAGCCAGGTGCTGGATTTGCTATCCCGGCTTCTGGGGCCATTGTCCCACCCAAAGAAATCATAGAATCAATTAAAATAATTTAATAAAAGAACCATCAGAGAGACCCTCCCTGGAGTGTCCTCAGCCATGGGCACCTCCATGGACAATCCCTTGGAGTGTCCCTGTCCCCACCAGCCCTTCCAGAACCAGGATAAATCCC